GGGGCTTAATGTGCTCTTCTTTTTCTAGTTCCTTGAGATATAAAAGTAGGTTACTTATTTGAGATCTTTTGTTTTTCTCAATGTAGATATTTGCCACCATAAACGTCCCTCTTAGAACTGCTTTGCTACACCTCGTAAGTTTTGCTACATTGTGTTTCCATTTTCATTTGTTTGAAGGTAGTTTTTGACTTCTCCTTTGAGTCATTGGTTGTGCAAGCCTGAGTTATTTAATTTCCACATGTTTATAATTTTTCCAGTTTTCTTCCTGTTATTGATTTCTAGTTTCACACAATTTCAGTTACAAAGATACTTAATATGATTCCAATCTTCTCAAATTTTGACTTGTTTTATGGCCTAACATTATTCTGGAGAGTGTCCAGATGCGCTTAAGCAGAATCTTTATTCTGCTGCCGTTGGATGGCCTGTTATTTGTGTGTCTCTTAGATCTGTTTGGTCATTTTGAATTGATTGTTTTGGTTGTTTTTATTTTTGAGATTGAGTAGTTTTCTCTATATTCTAAATATTCATCCTTTTATCAGATATATGATTCGCAAATATTTTCTCCCATTCTGTGGTTTGCCGTTTTACTCTATTGACAGTGTCTTTTCATTCACAAAAGTCTTTAATTTTCATGAGGTCCAATTTGTCTATTTTCACCTTTGTTGGTTGGTGCTTTTGGTGTCATATCCATGAAACTATCTATTACCAAACCCAATGTCATGAATCTTTTGTCTTATGTTTTCTTTTAAGAATTTTATAGTTTTAGCTGTTACATTTAGGTCTCTGATCTATTTGGGGTTTTTATATGTGGTGTTAGGTAAGGGATAGCATCCCTTCCATTTTTGTTAGAGACTAGAAAGGAGTTTATTAGCGTACACTGTCATGGACAACAGCGAGCCACACAGACGAGAGATGCCTATGAGAGCCAGCCTCTTCCTTTTTAAAAAACAAATACAATGTTTTTTCTTATTCCAGAAGCAGAACATATTCACTGTACGAAAATAAGAAAATAGGAGGACCTAAACATATCTCTCATAATACTTTGATGCATATAGTTCTGAATACATTTGTATATTTAAATTAAAAAGTTATTGCTTAAAATTTTATTTTTTACATAGTAAAATATTATGGATGATTTTCATGTCAGTAGAAATTCTCCAGTATAATTCTCAGTCACTACTTAATAATCTATTATTTAGAATTTATATTAGTTAACAAATCTCCTGTTACTGGACATTTAAGTTACTTTAAATTTTCACTATTTAAAAAAACAATTATAAAAATAAATAAATGAAAAATAAAAAGTTTATAAACAATTATAAACATTATTGAGACTAAATATTTGCACATGTATTATTTTCTTAGGATAAATTCCTAGAAATAGAATTTCTGAGCCTAGGACTGTGCCTAAATGAAGAGTTATGATACTTGTTGGCATGTTGCCCTTCAGAAAGGAACAAACTAATTTATACCTCCTCCAATCAATGTACAGGGGTGACTATTCATTATGTCCTCATCAATCTTAAGAATTAAAACCTTAAGTGATCTGGATCAATTTGATGAACAGAACCCCTTTTTATTACTGATGTTTTCATTTGCATTTTTGATAATTTGCAGAGTTGGGCATTTTATGCTTATCGGTTATTTATAGTTGAAAAAGAAACAAAACGCTTTTTGTCACATATGTTGTAAATATTTCCAAAATGTATACCTGCTTTTATATTTTATTTGTGGTATTTATAAACATGTTCCACCTTTAGTGTCTTTAGAAAGTCTTCTCCATTCTTAGGAAACTCTTTACTCCATCATGGGTAAAGTCCTCAATTGCCCATCACTAGAGTGAGTGAGTGAGTGAGTGAGTGAGTGAGTGAGTGAGTGTGTGTGTGTGTGTGTGTGTGTGTGTGTGTGTATAAGCCAATGCTTTTGGAGAATGTAAAAATTTTTTAATTACTAGAATTAGACACAAACTCATCAAAAATATCCTGCTCCCGTATCCTGACTGTACTGCCAAGGGATCCCATTGTGCATACTGGAAAACAAATCTTAAAGGAGAAAAAATACAGTTCATTATTATAGTTAAAATTCTTTTCCTGAATCAAAACTATATGTTAAAGGGACCAAGGAAGTTCACTGTTTATAATTATGGTCAAATTTTTCTCTTTGCAAAGGGCTTGGTTTTGTAATACCAGTACTTCCTGAATGATCTGTGTTGACTGCTGTTTTATCAGTTTATCTCATGGGCCTTTCCTAGGATAAGTTACCCACATGGCAGCAGCCATGTGGAGACACATGCAGCTCTTGTCCTCAAGGTGGTCCTCAGGTAGGTTGACTGCTGCTCTAATAATTCCTGTGATGTTTCTTTTTTCTTTTTTTTTTTTTTTTTTTTGCTCCAAGTCAATCCATGCCAATTGTCCCATCACCACACAGTCCAAGCAATTTGCAAATTCACTTCAGTCCATGAATTTCCCTTGCCAAATCCATATTACAACCAATGTTAAAGAAATAGTTTTGTTTAGCCCTGACTAGTTAAAAAACAAAAAACAAAAAAGTAGCAGCTTTCTGTTACTCCTGTACCCTTTGGGGGCTACACTAGAGAGAACAGGACCATCTAAGGATGACAGAGCGATACGATTTAGCAGTGGGTTCCATGTTTTTCTTTCTTTACTAATCAGTGCTATTGGCAGCAATAAGAATTAGGATCACAGAGATGCTCAACCCAGGGGGCTTCTGAAAAACCATAGTGGAAATATTACCTACATCACTACGATTCTAGGACTTAACCTGAAAGATTTCTCGTTACGTTGAGGCAATTGGCGTTTTGTTTAAACCCCATAAATGCTTCGGAAGACATTTACCATGCAACCCTGAGAATCTGGGTTCTGATGTCATATGTTCTCTAAACATATATTCGTAGCTGTAAGTTTGAAGCCTGACACCACCAGCTGTGTGACATCCCGCAGGTCACACAATGCTAGTTCTACTTCCGGTTGTAACAATGACAAGACTGTCTAACATGTATTGAGTGGTTACTGTGTGCTAAGCAGAGTTTCATACTTTACAGTGTTTTATATTTACCATATCCTTCAATCCTTGTGTAAACCTTGTGAGGGAGGTACTCTCAGCAGCATTTTATAAATGAGTAAAGGGGAGAACTTAATTCTTCAAGTACACACACTGAGCGTAGGATCGGGTTATTCTCTCTCCTGTTTCAAGCTTTTAGCCACGTTCATCTGCTTCTCTGAGCTTCAGTTTCCTTATCTGCAAAGTAAGAACAGTGATCATTCTGTTGTAGGGTGGGCATGAGGGCCCGAGATCACGGAGTGAGTCTTCGGGCCTAGGCATTGAAAGCCCCCTACCCCAGGTCTTTCCCCACCCCCAGCCTGCCCTCTGTCCCCTCGGTCCCTCCTTCAGAGGCGCATCTCACAGAAGTTCCCCAGAGGTGGGCTACTCTGAATGAGTCACACCCTCAGGACCAAATGTTCGTTGAACGCCCTTTGTTCCGTTCCAGCCCAGCTGACTAATCGCCGGTAACACGTCCATTGCCACTGCCGGGTAACTGCACTTCAACTGCCTTTCTTTGGAAAACAGCTTCACAAAAATCAGTGGTTCCCTGTGTTTGCAGGACTAATGTCAGTTTTATATGCCAACGATTTTGTAATCCCTTCTCTGTTAGCCTGAAATGAAAACTGTAGAAAATGTAACTTACCTACTCACTATGCCCAAGTTATTTTTTATAAGATGAAGAAACACTAGGAAAGTAGTTTATAATAAGATAACATACTTCAATAGGTAAAGCGTAGGCAAGACAACACCAGAAGATGTGAAGGAGCCCCACTGTTTGCTCTGTCTCTACTGAAAATCACAAGGACCACCACAAAAGGCTGTGGAGCTAATCCCAGAACCTCACGTGCTGCTCCCTGAACGCCAGGAGCATCCCCAGCCATTTATTGTGACAGCCTCCTTCCCATAATTAATTTTTCCAAGCTGCCTTTTAAAAACCTAGATCAACGACACCGATGTGAAACGTTTAGCGTTTCCAGCAACCTCAAGGCAGCCATTTCAGTTTAAAGACTCGTTCACTACCTCCAGAACCAGGTCGCTACCCTCTCCTTGGCCTGGTTTTTTCCCCAGAGTCTCGGGGTAGGACTGTCATCGTGCATAATCACATTCTCAATGATAAAAGTTCACATTTATGGAACGCCTCCTCTATGCCGAGCTCTTTGTAAACAATTTTGCATTTATTAACTTATTTAATCCTCATAACTCCCTAAGTAATATTCTCACTCTGTCCCACGGATCATGATAACAGGCACGGAAATTAAGTAGCCGGACTAAGCTCACACCTCTCGCTGCATCGAGCTTCTTATAGAAATCAACTCCTCTGATTATTATAATGGTAGGGGTTATAGTAATCAAGGCACTGGCTGTGTTTCCATTTGAAGAAAGAAACATTTTGGAGACGAAAAGATGTTTCTTGCTCCGATACCTGCCTATCTGTTTGAAATTTGAGCCCAAGAGTTCTTGGCCTGCTTTAGCTTTTAGCCCTTGGAATGTAATTAGGTAGCTTTTGACTGAATGTTTTCATTCAGATGTTACAGAGTGGATTTTCTCTTCCTGGCATTTCACTTATGTGATGCTGCAGGTCCATTCATTATAAGATCTGGAATTTAAATCTCTATCTGAACTTTGCTTTCATTGCCAAACGTCTTGCTCCAAAGTAGGTTTGTTCTAACGAATTAAGAATTAAGACCTAAAAACAGGCTCCATCAGAGCAGGGGGACACGTGAACAGTGTGGTCCGATGTCCCCTAAACGTGTCAGAAATGACAGTCAGGCATCATTCAGGGAGGAGATGCCTTTCCTTCTGGAAATCAGATAACCATGGAATTGTTCTATCTGATCATTATTATCCATGGTTTAAAGTTGGACTTTTACCCTCCTGCATCTCCTTGTAAACATAACAAAGTAAATTATTCAAAGCAAATGTATTTTTCCTTTCAGGGGGAAAATGATTCCATCCGATCTTGAAAGAAGGATCCTTGAAGTCAAACAAAAAGTAAGTTTTTGGAGGGAGCTTTATCTGCCCATAAGAAGCTGAGGGTGTATATTTCCCTTTCCATCCAGTAGGGAACACGTTTTTGTTTTACTTCTAAAAGAGAGTATGGAATTTGGCATTCAGTCATTACTTAGTTTTCTAAGCTCTGCATTGGTAGAGTCAAGTTACTGAATAAATATGATACACAGTGATATTGTAACAACTTCCAAAGCAGTTTGTCTTCCTGTGTGTTGAGGATTGGCATTTAACAGATACATTCAAAAGATTGTATTCACAAGTGGGAAATCCTGGGAAGCTAATTTAGAGTGTGGGGAGTTGCCACATATGGTTATTTGAAAGGGGCCAGTGTTTCCTGCCTAGGCACATAGTGAAGTGATTGGCCCTCCCCAAACACCTCTTTATTCAGGAAGTAATTTAGTCCTCCTTTTAGAAGTAACAAGTCCTGAAGACCTGCTAAAAGCTCCTACAGAGCTCTAGAAAGTCATTTGCATCCCTGGATGGTCTGCAAGCCACAGCTTAGTAAATGCAACCTACAGTTCAATGACATAACGGATGGGTTTCATTATTAGGATTTCAGGAATAATTATTCATTTCCATGTCCCTTTTTGTCCCCCTACAAAGTGGCAGCAGGATGGTTTCCCCTTGTTCTGATACTAGACCGACTTCTAGTCACGTAGACCACAAGATTAAGCCTTTGCTGCCCTCTAAGGACTGACTCTGTAACATCATGTTACTTCGTGTCTTGATGGAGTAACTATTCATCCCATCTCAGGCATTCTTCTGCTATCTTTCAGCAGCCACCTAGTCTATCAATTTTGATCTAGCCGTGGCCAGATAGACCAAGCCAACTTAGAGGGATAAAAGTCATGGCTTATTGTTTAGCCCCAAGTGAATCCTCTCCTCTAAGACTACAAATAAATTTAAAAAAAGGCTCCTTGAATGCCTCTTTTATATTATTTGGGGCTTTCTCGTTTGCGTAGGGGTTTGTCCCTTTCCTTGTGAGTGCCACGGCTGGGACCACCGTGTATGGAGCCTTCGATCCCCTCTTAGCTGTTGCCGACATCTGCAAAAAGTACAAGATCTGGATGCACGTGGATGTAAGTATCCCATCAGGCCAGCCCCTTAACTGTCCCTGCACTTTTCTCACCTGGAGCTCATGGGATGAAATTCATTCTCTTTTGTACTTTAGGGGTTTATTTTCAGAATGGTGATAGTTAAGCTTTTAAAGATTACAGAGACAAAGTTGTAGACAACTCACAGTACATAACATTCACTAGTCTGAGGCTTGATTCTGCCTTCACAGTCCCAAATAAGGACAATACTCTCATTTCTATGACCAGTTCCCGAGCTGAGCACTTAGTTCTCAGTTCACTGGCCACAATGTCCACGGAGGAATATAGCCAACGTGCATACACACACAGGGTCACACACGCAGTCACACACGTGCAAAGCTTACCTCCCTAGGAGAATGATCGAACGAGTAAATAGGAGTTGCATGTATACAGGAAACCCAAGGGATAAAAAGTTCAGCTCAAGTCGGATACTAGTATATTTGATTTGACAACTGGCTAGGAAATGTGTCACCAAATTTCCAGTTTTTTATCTTGGTAGCTAGTAAGCTAAACTATATATGAGATATTTTGACTCCAGGATTAGTCACACCAAAAAAAAAAATAATGGAGATGTACCCACCAGGACATTTTCAAATGAAAAAAAAAGATCCATTTTTAGAAGGACAAATTAAAGAGATTTAGGTTGAGACCAGTATTATTACTCCAAGCATGGCTCAAACATCAGTTTCTGTCTGCAAACTGTTAAGGACCCAGGATGAGATGAGGAATCGGTGCCAAGTCATTGCTTAAGCACAATGCTTGGTTCAGCTGACGTGTTTTTCGTTGTGAGACTTTCTTGACGAGGGAAGCATAAGTTGATTTACATTTTGGTGCAAGAGGCTTATGTCACTGAGTAGACTGAGTTAGATTATTTTGGCTTTACAGTAAGCATTCAGACCAAATTAATTCCCCTTTCTTTATAGGCAGAAAACCTCCCCTGGCTGAACTAGGTAAATTTCCATTACCCCAGAGCTGGCCAGCCTGCAGAGCAGTTACCCACCTTCTTTTCCTTCCCTGATTCGCAGTGTGCATTGCTCATTAGCCTACCAGAGACCCATTTTACACAGGAAGACATTGAGAAAGGTTGGCAAACCCAAGTACCTTCAGTGACCTGGGTCTTGGAACTAGAGAGCCTGTTACATCTCACTAGCTAATTCAGGAAGAGGGTTACCCTGACAGCTCTAAAAAAAAGCAACAGTGTATCTCCTGAGCCAGCAGATGCTATGGTGTCTCCTCCAGACTGTCTACTAAAAATAGAACCGGGAGATCTTTTAACCAATTGCATTAGCTTTCTTCAAAACATAACAAGTTTACCACTCATCCTCAATGTTTACACATTCTGTAATTAAACTAGGAAAAAATCTTAAAATATTACACATTTGGAAAATTGGATAATTTTTCAAAGTGTAAAAGGACTGAAATTACAACAAAGAAAAAAATGCAATTATACCCATTTTTTTTTCTTTAGAATTGTCCCAAGATTATTTTTACACCCAAAGAATGTCAAGATTTTTCAATGAATCTCCATCTTGACATTCTATCTTTAAGGGAGATCTTTACACCAATTCAGACCTTCAAACTTGAGTACAAATTTTTAAAGGGACACATTCTTTTTTTTTAAACATTTTTTATTGATTTATAATCATTTTACAATGTGGTGTCAAATTCCAGTGTAGAGCACAATTTTTCAGTTATACATGAACATATATGTATTCACTGTCACATTTTTTTCTCAGTGAGCTGCCATAAAAAGGGACACATTCTAATTGATCAACTAAAACTAGTACAAATCTTTCCTGCTTGGCTTTTTTTTTTTTTTGGTCTGTCTGTTTTGTTTTGTCTGTTGTTTGGGGGTTTGTGTTTTGTTTTTGTTTTTGTTTTTGTTTTATTGACAAAGATATTATCCAAAATTATACATCAGTCAAATAGGATTATGAAGGTGCTTCCTCCCTCTGGAATCATTCAGATTTGTCAAAAAGAGTTTTCCTTCCAATATGGAAGATGTTTAAAGGGTCCCAGCCCCATCTTCTGTACCTTAAACTGTGGAGATAATAGGGTTTCTAATTCTAAGAGTATGAGCTTCACTAGGACTGAGAGCGGAGCTGATGGTTGGGAGGGAATCTACCTCCTTCTCGTGCAGATCAGGAAACGTGCCCCCAATTTGGAGCCTGACACCCATGTAAACGTGGGGTGGAGCCTGAGACCTTAAAATAGCCCCCAGTTTAGCCTTTGGAAGTCTAGTGCCAGAGAAGGGGGCCAACCCTCTAAGTTTCCTAGGGTTGAGGACGTAACTTTCACCCCCAGAAACTCTGAAGCCACTAAACTCTAGAAACCCAGGCAATGAACAAACACTACCTTTTCTCTGTATGCTCTCCCTTTTTCAGGCAGCTTGGGGTGGGGGATTACTGATGTCCCGGAAGCACAAGTGGAAACTGAGCGGCGTGGAAAGGTACCCACATTTTTCTCGTTAACAGAGTAAAGTGTGAAAGCTAAATGTGAAAAGCAAATTATACCGGGTTTTTGAGAACTGCTGGTGTACAGGTGAGCCCATTCTGCGCCGTGCTGTGTGCCTTGCCTTGTGTGGTCATATGTGCACGAGTACTGTGTGTAGACAACAAGAAGAAACCAAACCCCGCATCAGGCAACCCAAGTGGGATGTCTCTCGAGCACCGAGCTTCCTAACTGGCATCCGCTGTTGGCCAGATGATTCCTGAATGACCTTCCTGGGATCTCTGAACCAGCTACCAAAACTTTAAAACTTCAGGCTGTTTTCTAGGGAGATCGATAGCTTTCATGTTTCGTAAGAGGAAGATGCCCACTGCTTTAAAGAAACCAATAAGTAATTTTGCAAAGTAAATAAGCACCTTATAATTGATCAGTGTTGAAAGTGGGGCTTGGGGTTCAATATGGCCAGTTTACTTAAAGGGAAGCATGCTTGTGATGCCATCATTGGATGGTGTCATCCCCATGGTAATTTTTTTCTGGTATAGCTCTGGTTGGTGTTTCAGAGCACCTTTTATTCAGAGACTAAGCATTAGACCATTGAGAAGAGCGGCAAACCCCGAAGGACATAATCTTTGATTCACAAAAAGCAGACTTGGGTCCAAAGGAAAAAGAAAAAAATGACAGGATGCAAATATCAGCTTCAGGCTTGGGTTCTGGACCATGTGCAGAGACAGCTCAGAGCTCCTGGTCCTCCCATCACAACACGGCAGGTCAGGGACAGCGGTCAGCTCTGACACTCCAGGCAACGGAGAAAGCCCGAATTCATCCGAGGCTGCCAAGTGCCTACCGTGCCCTGCCAAGTAGCCAGATGCTGCCCAGAAAGAGTCTCCCACTGGCTCTGCCTCTGGACATCCTGGCGCAATTTCTGTTCCAAGGCGAGGAGAGGGGCTGGTGGAGCTGGGAAGCTCTGTGAGCCCTGCTCACACTGGGCAGTCAGGCCAGAATGAACACGCTGGGTGTGCTGTATCATATCCAGGCCTACATGCACAGGGAACCCGTGGGTGTGGAAGGGGGGGCTGGGGTTACAGTGGCAGAGTCTAGGGCACCTGCCTCATCATTGGAAAGAAGGCTGGAGGCAGATCAGCTAAGGCCCGTGTCAGAGGGGGACCGTCCCGCAGCCTGCGGTCCCTGCTCGGATAGCAGGTACCCATTTAGGTGTGAGTGGATGGAGACAATTTTAGGTCTCAGCTTCTCATCCTTTGGGCTGAATTCCTTGAAACCAGAAGCTTAAGGTGGACGCAGTGAACTAAACAGTGAGAGATGATGAAGAGAGAACCATTTAGAAGGTGCCTGTTCAGAGGATCAGAACAAGAATTAAATTGATGTGCTCTCGAGAGACGTGGCCTGTACACAGAACCTTCTTTTCTTGGAGGCCCTTTCTGGTTGGCCTGTTACTAGAGCTTTCACGCCAGCTGTGACTCCCGAGTGCCGAAAGCCAGCCACAAATCACCCTCCACCAGGGAGTATTTGAAACCTCACTAAATCCCCTACCCTGGGCCTTGGAAAAGTAAACACCCACACGCTTTTGTACTGAAGACTATTATTTGAGAGCGAAGCTTAGAACATTCACCATGGAACACAGAGATCTAACTGCCACAGTTCTTGAAATTTTATTGTAACTAAATCTGCTAAGTGGAACAGCCAAACAGCAAGTCCTAAAAAATAAGGAACTGTGGTCATTGTGCTTTGAGCCAAATCCCCTCAGCCATCCACTTACCAGACAGAATCCATCTTGGTGACGTCTTAGCAAAAGGCATTCTCTCTGTGGTGAATGGGATGGTAGAGCAGTGGAGACCCCCTGCGGAATGAGCCCGGGCCCACACTGAGGAAAGAAATTTGACTCAGTTGGGGGGTTTGGCGTTGTCCCAAGTACTAGGACTCACTCTAAAGTGGAGGAAATCCATGCTTGATTCTTGTCACCAAATCCAGAAGTGCCCAGTGGTCACAGGGATCCCAGAGAGCTCTCCTCTTAATAAAACAGCACACACACCTGGAGCCCAATTCTGCCAAATTACCAAGTATTGCCCTCACTCCGCCCGTGAGCCAGGGGTTCAGAAACTCAGTTCACTGGTCCCTGAGCCTCTGTCATTTGCAAGTCACAGCAGCAGGCACGCTGAGCGCACGTCAAGCATGGTATGAGGCGTGTCTTCAAGGAGTTTAGAATCTAGTAGAGAAGACTGCAGTCAGCAAGGGGTTTAATTCAAGGCGGAGGAAGTAAAGGCTCAAGAGAGAGACAAGCGAGCTGGACGGCACAGAAGACGGTCTCATTCTTTCTAAACAAGGTTATTACAGGAAGGGACTGCCCCCAGGGTGGGCATTGAGCCGTGGAAGGAGGGCGTTAAGGTGAAGAGCAGGAACGCGGAGGTTTGAGAGGGTCCTTGGAGAAAGTTCAGACAAGTCTGGTTGGAAACCGGGATGGATTCGTGGCGGTGACTAGGAAGCCAGGGGAGCGTCCAGAAGTCCTGCCCGTGAGTGTCCGTGGAGGGCCTGCCCCAGAGCCAAGTCAGGGTCAGCGTGAATCCCTGAGCTGAACATCACTGCTGTGTGGGCCACTTAATACATGGAGAGCGTTACATTTCTTGGGTTGAGGAACACAAAAAGGAAAGGCCCTGCCATGACAGCCATAGCGGGGGTTTGAGGAGAGGGCGGGATTACCTGCGCTTTGGAAAGACAGCTCTGGATTCAAGAGCCCATGGAAGCCGGGCCTGGCAAGAGGCTGTCAAGGCATCACAGATGTCCGGGTGCGAGTGAGCAAGTGGAGGGCAGAGACGCTGAGGGCGGGGAGCAGGGGGTGAGCGGGGGAGAGGAACCCAGGAGCGTTGCTCCCGCAGAAGAGGACGCGCCATCACAGAGACCCGCTCTTCCACGTGGTGGAGTGCCCGTGCTTCGGCTTACCTCACGTGCTTCTGAAATATTTTGTGTGTGTTTATGTAGAAAAGCCGCACTGGATTACACTGGAACACCATGTGTTACAAAATGCTTAAACACTCCTTGTATGCAATGCTTTCTTTTGCTTTGCTGTACTTTCCAATACTTTAAGAAATTCCATGCAGGAGAGTATAGAAAACTAATTACCCCCCCCCAAGAAAAGAAATTCCAGAGAGTTCCTTCCTGGACAGATTTTACAGTTTTATGTATTATGTTGAAAAGCATAAGGGACATATGTTTGTAGAGGTCTTTGATTGAGCTAGCATTAGCTTGTATAGAAAATATCTTTCTCAAAAGTTCCATCAAAAATCTAGCGCCATCATCGTGGGGATTTATCCAGACTGCCTGGGGAATTTTTCAATATGCATATACTGGTCACATCCCAAGGAAACATCGCAGAGTCTCCAGGGTTTAGAGTGAATACGTGTGGCATTAGGCCATTGTCAGAGCAAGCACTCGGTACACAGGCAACGTTTTGAATCCTACTTGCTGGTTGTATGCCCTTGGGAAAGATGTCTGGCCATCTATAAAACTGTTATTGGTACAATAACAGGAAGTACCTCCTGGGGTTACCGCTGTAAGGAATAGATAAGTTAATGCATGTGAATCAGTTAGAACAGTGAGTGTCATATAGTAAGTACTTAATAATTGTAGTTAGCATGTGAATGCTCAATATTTTCCAAGTGATTCCCATACACCATCCACACACACACACAGAAAATCTAGCACCAAAGTACTACAGAATAATATATTTTATGCAGAATAAAAAAAAAAAGAACAACAAGGAGTGGTATCAGGAGAGGGGAAGAAAAGAGAATGAAACCAAAACACTAAGGTTTGGGAGCCGAATGCTTGGGAAGAAAGGGGTGTGAGGAATTGAGGCCCAGGATAGAGGAGAGAGGACAGATCCAGGAGGACCAGGAGGGGGGCGAGTTACTGAGTTCATGTCAGGGCTGCTGAGTTTGAGGTGCAAGAGACTGCACAAAGATACATCTCAGAATGGCCCCAGGGGACTCAGCTCTCTCCAATTTATGGAAAATCAGAGGCCACATGACTGAATCCCATGGCAAAACATTTTGGAATGAACCTGAGGCTGTTTTTCACAAATTGCCAACATTTCTCAGATAAACTAAGGCCATGTTGTTGAATCAGTCTGCTTGTCTTTTTGCATCTTTATGAGAGAATTCGGTGACGGGATCAGTGTGGGCCTTGGCAGCTTCTAGTCTAAAAAGACAAACTGGTCGCTGCATAGGAATAAACACCCTCAGTTAGAGGCGTGGAGAAAGCTACTCTCTTCTGCATCAGGTGTCATGCCTGATAAAGCTGCGTTTCCTCAGGATCGGGCACAGAGTGATAGGATATTATAGAATGTATAGAATGGCGGTGTATGTGCCCAGTGTCACAAAGGTCGTAAATGACAGTTGAAATCAGTATCAAGAGCCGACCTTATTTAATGTTTACTGTGTGCTGGATGCAGTTATAAGCACTTTACCCAAATGATTATTATTCTGTTATTTTTACAAAGCTAGGCACAGAGAGGTTAAGCAACCTGCTCAAGGTCACACAGCTAGGAAGTGACAGAACCTGCATGCAGACGTAGACTGTCTGACTCCCGAGCTCCGCTCCCTGAACCACTATTTACCTATTGCTCAGAACCCAGGTTTCTTGACTCCAGGGTCATTCTAAAGAGCAGGGAGATGTTTTCCTGGAAGGAGCTTTTTAATACCAGTTCCATTATTATTCAGGAAGTCTTAGTCCTCTTTCCAGGGGTGTAGCCACCTGGCCATGAACTGCCTTTGCTTCTTTCCCCGCTTTCACCCTATCTGACAGCCAGCGTCAAAGCTCAGGGAAGACCAGCAATGAGCTGGACTATCCATCGATTTAGATAAGATCCCCAGGCCAGTAAGTGTTCTCGGACCAGTCAGCTGATGCCTGCTGTTCATCAGCTAGATGAATGGGCTCTTCCCCAGCATCTCCTTTCTTCCCAAGGTCCTCCCACCTTGAGTGCGGGCAGCAGGGGAGCCCCGATCTGCCGTTCAGCCAGCAAAGGGGCAGCCATGCAGGGCACTCTGGAGGCGGCTGCCACGGATCGCCCCGCTACGTTCCTTCTCCTGTGAGTCTGTTCATGTCAAGGTCACGTTCCCAAGCTTCATCCTCAAGGAACCCTCAGTCTCTTCGAAGACGTACACAGAGACTCCTGCAACGTGAGCAGCCGCTTTCCCCGGGCACTGGAGGAGGAGGGGCTTGGAGAGGTTGGAGAAGTTGAAGGAAGTTGAAGAAGGCTGCAGAGATATACTTGATTGGCCTTTAAGAATAAGTAGGATTAAATTAGCAAGTGAAGTGACGGGAGATGACATTCCATGAAGAGGAAATAGCATTAGGAGACCCAGGTGCATGAGAATAGAATGTTCTGAGAACACAGTGTCCTCTGGTGTGATGGAAAGTGACAGGACTCAAGATGAGACACATGGCCTGGGGCTTACCTGGGTGGACACCATGAGCTACCCTCTACAGTTTGGAATTTAGGCTGGAGGTGGAAGGAAAGAGGAGAGAACCATAAACAGAGCTGGAAAATAACTCTAGTCCCAGGTGGAGGATGCAATGGAAACCAAGCATCAGTTAAGACAGTGTATCTGGATTAAAATAATAACAGTAATTATTATTATTAAAGAAATCTAAACCAGGGCTGTGGTTTAGGCTTTTCAAATAGATTCAGTCCCTGAGCTGAGAATCACTATTACTGATGGAGAGCACTCTAGTTCTCAAGTACGTCGGGACAAAATAGATTGAAAATTGCTGAAGGAGCCACAGCATCTCTCCCCTGCAGTCCAGAAGGCTATCTGTGGATTAGAAAAGAGATGGAAGCAGGGGATAAGCTGGAAGCTGTGATGAAAGGACACATTTGAAACATTTGGTAATCAGTTGAATGGGAAGAAGAAGGAAGTGGGTTGGGGAAAGAACAAAACTTAAGCAGTGGGAAGAGCCACGGCTCTGCACTCCAGGGCACTGCATTTGGGTCAGAAGCAGGAATGGTGGAGGCACCTGAGGCCACCTGCCTGGTGCTCTGCTCCATGGTGGCCAAAGGATGGACCTTGGACTGGACGATCCCAGTCACCCAAAGAAGCTCCCAGACCACCGTGGAGGCTGAATGGATTCCTCAGCTCAGGGGACACCGCATGGAGACACTAGCCCTCACCTATTGTCTCTGCAGACAAACAAAAGGTTGTAGATTTGAGTCCAGTTTTTGTCCTGTAAATTAATGTCACACTGGAGTCTAAGAAACAGTGCCAAGAATCCTCAGTGGTGTTGCCCATGCACAGGGTCTTGGTAGTCTGAGCCTGTCACAAGTGCCACCCTAGTAACGTGATTTGTTCCTTTAGGGCCAACTCTGTGACGTGGAATCCACATAAGATGATGGGCGTCCCTCTGCAGTGCTCCGCTCTCCTGGTCAGGGAAGAGGTATGTCTCTCCTGACTAGCAGCCTGGTCCACCGGTGGGATTTGATAGCGTAAATGTGGGTAGTGACGGACTGGAACGGTGAGCCACATCCAAAAAGGGGAAATTGTCAACGAGGATAAGTGTAAGGTCCTGCTCTTACGTGCAAATATAGGATGCTTATATTTTGACCAGACAAGACAGGCATGCTTCACGCATGGCCAAATTGTCGTCCTTGTGAAAAAGGCCTGAGATGTATACTGCAGGGTCAATAGTGGGTCCAGAGAGAAATACCATTCAAAAAATAGTAGTGGGATAAAAAAGACATGGAGTTTCAGGATGAGGGAGGTGGTCACCCCCCACTGTCCTCTGGTTAAACCACACCTGGAGTGCTTCACTTAAGTTAGTGCCAAATCTCATCAGGGACCCCATCAAGCTAGGACTCAAACAGTGAAGAACATTACTAAACATGGAAGTAAGGTGGTTGAAAGAGCTGAAGATGTTTAATCTAAAAAAAATAAAAAATTAAAGGGCTGAGAGGATGGCAGCCTTCACAGTATAAATGACACTCGGATCAGAGAGTTTTTTTTCCTTGAGGTTTCAGGGAGCTGGGTGGTACAGCTTTGATGGCACAATCAGAATTACCATGATTTGAGATCTGACTTGGGGGACAGCAAAAGGAATGCTTTTCTAAAAATTAAGCTGCCCAACTGGTAATGAATGACTTATGTATGAATACATTCCTCATCATGGAGGTGAATGAATGGAGACTGGAGAACCACTTATTAGTAACAGGATAGAGAGATAGATGGGGAAGGAATAGATTAAGAGCTCTAGGCTCCCTTCCAAATCCAAGAGTTCATGATGCTCTGACAGCATTTCCCTTATCAGGGTCCAAGGAATAGGATTGTATTAAGTTTCTGTGATAAGAGGGTTCTTAGTTTTTAAAAAGCTTGGGGGGGATAGGGTATAGCTCAGTGGTAGAGTGTGTGCTCAGCATGCACGAGGTCCTGGGTTCAATCCCCAGTACCTCCATTAAAATAAATAAACAAATAAAAACCTAATTACCCCCCAAAAAAATAAAATAAAATAAAAAATAATAAAAGCTTGGGATATATTAGATTAAAGAGTTAAAAACAACTTTCATTACTTCAGGGTTTATCACAGCCTTTAATTGCTGGTGTATATTATGAATATCTCAAAAGAAGGTATTTATGATAGTTTCCTAAGTTCATTTGACCAGGGGGATTTCTTTGACAGCACCTGTTTTACCAGTAGCTGTTAATGTATTTAAAATCATTTGGGATTTAATGGCTCAGGATATTATCTCACCAAGGCCCTTTCTGTGACTTTGACTTGTCCTTTTGTACGATGAGGCTGGTACTGTCCAACCTTTTAGAGGTCATGTGCTTTGAGCTGCTTTTCTGATCCTAGTCTATGCATCATTCCACACTCTCTGGGGTGGTCTCCCTTAGGACTGATGGCACCTGGTCATGGGCCTGCGTGGGTGGGACGAAAACGGTGCCAAGTTTCTGTGACCATGAAATGAAATAGATGCACCTGTGGCAGTTTTCAGTCTTACTGTCTTCAAGTGAATTTTTGTTTTCCAATTCAATGTCATCCTACTGCTCTATTACAATTATATTGTATTTAATTTCTGTTAGTCTCAAAAAGTTAATGTAATGGATTCCACCAAACATGAAGCCCAAATCACAAGACTGAGCCCAGTTCTGTTGTCTTCCACCTGTGGATGTGGGCTATCAGGACCGAGATCCAATTTTACTTGCATTTTGTTTTAGTTTGGATAACGTTTAAAAGAGTTTTCACTTCTAACTTCAACTGAGTGACCACACTCTAGTCTTTGCTTCTTGTTGTGAGTCACAAAAGGGAAAAAAAAATGCCAAAGCTTCTGTAAAATCACAATTACACTGTAGGTAACAAAAGCGACAAAGACTTCCTGTGGTTCATGACAGACTGAAACGTGGTGAGACTGGTGATGCTGTTTGAGTCAGAGAGCATGATTCATTCCCTGTTCTTTGGAATAGTTCAGTCACTTTGCTACCCATTTTCCACAGTAAGCTTGCGGTGCTGGGGCAAATTCATGGTCATTGACAATGAAACTTTCCACTGGAACTGCCGTAAGCAACTGAGTATGAAAACCCAGTACTCAAGCTTTAATCACTCTTGAGAGAGGAACGTGATGTTTGAAAGAGTCGTTATTTAAGACATCTCGGAGTAGCTATGTCTTTATTTTTTCAGATTTTAGCATATCGAAATGAGAGCAATGAACTGTCTTAAAAGCTGTGATTTCCATAAAGAACCCAAACCTTTACAGCTGAATGACAAAGTCCTTGAACTAAATCTGAATGAAAGAGAAAATCACACCAATAATATTTTATAAAACCAAAGAGTTTCCAAAATAGTTTGATTACAACAAAACCAGAACATCAGGATATTCTCCCAATGAACATTATACTCTGATTTTGATTTTTTTTATAATGCCTTCTCTTAAGAAGGAGAATAAAAGTATAATCATACCCTGTTGTTAACCTCTGGTAACATTTGACCCTGAGCCATTTCGCCCATAGAATTGATCTATTACAACAGCCCATCCTGCCCAGATATTGGCCTTAATTTTTTTTCATCTTTGATTCTTACTGTTTTCTTTCTTTAGGAGATTCAATGCCTCTTTCATTCTTTTTTGTTTTCTCCTTACTAATTTCCACCACAGCATAAGTCTAATAGAATGCCTGATAAAGTCAGTAGAGTTTCCTAAATTTTCTCTTCTCTCCTAGGGACTGATGCAAAGTTGCAACCAGATGCATGCTTCCTACCTCTTTCAGCAAGATAAACACTACGACCTGTCCTACGACACCGGAGACAAGGCCTTACAGTGTGGGCGCCACGTCGATGTTTTTAAGCTCTGGCTCATGTGGAGGGCAAAGGTGAGCACGTGCGGGTCGGCTCAATGTTGACTGAAAACAGGGACTAGATCTCTGCTGACCCTTATGATGTCCTGTTAAAATTGATTTCCAAATTGAAAATTATTTACCTAAGATTATATTTCTTTAAGCCTATACCTAGTTTTCTGCATTCTCCATGGGTAAGAATATAATAAAACCCATTATGTGCTTTTTTTCTCTGAAGTCACATTGCTTCTAATGCTCACTCATCTAGAAAACCAATTAATGTTGCTTTACCCGGCAGAACCTCCTGATTCCCAAGAGGTGCTTCGTTGTGGTTCTTGTCCCAATTCTCGGTTTTTACCCAGTAATTGATCCCTTGGGGAGGTTAAATGCAATCTTTTTGTTTGGAGAACAAAAAGGAAACATGAAAATTAAAAAGTATTATTGCTTATTTTTGACATTTCATGGGGTAACCTCTAGATATACAGCTTTTAAAAAACTCCAGAACTCGTTAGTGACCTCCTTTTGTACAATTTGCCTCAGAATTTAATTGTGAATTATCACCCCCCTAACTCAGAAACCAAACTCTGTAACTAATGGTGCAGCATTGGTTGGACCTAGTTATAGCTTTAAAAGAGCACTGTGTATGATTAAACGTAAGCAGGCTGGAAAGGTCAAAGACTTCATTTTTCATTTTGAACAGATTCCCAACTTAAGTGTCACAAATCAGTGACTTCCCACCTGGCTTCATCTATCTCCCGCAGGAGGCAGTGGCCAGAGCCAGCAGGCCACGCTGGAAAAACCCAACTGGTAGAAAAAATTCCAACTGTTAAAAGAGTATGTGAGGGAAACCTTGACAGAGGGAAATGAGAAAGTGAGAAATTAGAGGGAAGCGGAAATACCCCAAGGTCCTGTGAGTTTTGGAAACGGTCCACCAGTTTGGCTGTAAGCTTTCTAAGTAGACTACACAAAGAGGTGATGGGTTTGACCCCATAGGAACAAGCAAATATTTGGTCAACTGGATAAGACCACAGAATGGGTCCTCCCTCGGATCTGTGTATGAGGTATGAACCATGTTCACAGCACCCAGGCCATAAGCTGTTGTTTGTAGAATTGTCCAAAGTAAACTGAATTGCCTTACACACTTTAGAGAGGCAGATGGCTAACGAGAGAAACAGGGCGCTTAGAAGTGAAACAATGCAATTGACAACTATTTTATGGAATCTTCTCTAAACCCATCCTGGAAAAAGGCAGTTTAACTAGAAAGATGATCTTGCTTAATGCAAAAATAACTCTTAGATGGTTTCGGGGGGTGGCTGGACTAGACAGTCTTCAAGCAAGCCTCCATAATGGTATTTGCCCTGGTCGAATTTTCTCTAAGTATTGCTAAGTGTCACCACCTGGAGTGAGGCCCAAGGTGAGTTATTTCCCCGTAAAGGTGGGTGACAAGTGAGCGCAAGTCCCTTGAGCTGGGCAGGGGGCGCCTTCCTCCTTTGAAAGGTGAGAGCCTGACAAGGACACATATCTGGTCCCCAGCACCCAAAATGAGACTCATTCTGTTGGCAAGGACACTTTTGTTTGGCAAATTTGGCAAAAATAAACCAACCAAGAATGAGGATCATTGGTGTCCTCTCAGGCTGTTTTAAAACAGGCAAATTTTTTCTTTCATTGATGGGTGGGCATTATAAAATGACAAAATAAATAAATAAATATCAGCTAGTAAGTTGAGGAAAGCTTGGTCCTAAATATTGTTCAGTATCACTCTTTGTGTCTCTTGTTCCCGTGGTGTTTTTATTAAGATGATACTCTTTAGCTATATTTACACAAAAATGTTTCTGCCATGGTTCATCAGTTCCTGCTGCTCCCTTCCCGTCTGAAGCCTCCTTGCCAGCGTGGTGCAGCTGGCTGGTTCTCGGAGAAATAACTTGGAGGACATCAGGTGTCAATTAAACAGTCGGACCAAATGAGCCTGAAATAAAGGCAAAGAATCCCATTTCTCAAGCACTGAAGTGCAGGCACCAGAAGAGGGGATAAAGAGAGAGAGAAAAAAAAATAAAGATCACAGTGGCTGCATATGTATTTTTAAAATTCCTTATGCAAGCCCTTAGTATCTAAACATCTAACTGGCAGGCACATCCATTTGGCTTTCAGCTTAAGGCTGCATTTTTTGTAAAATGAAATAATAATTGTTAAAGTAATATGCTCAGTCCTGCAATGCAGATCGGAGGTGAGGAAAATTAGCCTTCAATATCCCTAACTCTCTAGTGACACCAGCCAGGGCAGAAGTCATCCTTTCCTGAGAAGAACAGCAAACGAGTTGGCCATGTCATTCTATTTTGTGTCTGCGAAAACAATAATGAGGAGAAAGAGGAGGAACAGGTCTTTAATCAGCAAACCCTGGATTATCAGGTACACCTGGAGAATATAATGTTCACGTGAATCCACACTGTCTCCTTAGTAAGATAAACCCCATGAAAAATAGTCATCTAAGGATAAATTACTACTCTTTCACTTGTTAATAACAAACAGAATTAAGTGCACTAAAGGCAGCCATCTTACTGAGTCCAAGATAACTTAACTAGAGCAAATTTATGCTGAAAAAAATCAGAGCCTCCGATGGGATGCTGGGAGGAGATGTGGTTCGTGATACGATTTGTCAGCCTTTCATGGGCAAAGTCATTGTGTTTGCTCTCAGCTCCATTCTTATGGGGTAGACCTTTTATTTTGTCTGCATTTATTAGGGAATCTTAGGACTTGATTATTTTCCACCTTGACAGATTTCCTCAGTGATTAAAGCTTAGTGGTAGACAGAAAAGCAAAAAACAAAAGACGTAAAATTAGTCCCCTGTTGAGGCCTGCAATGACGGCTTATTATAACTACTGAGCTTTCACCATTAATCTCTGTGTTTTGTGTAAGATTGTGCAAATTGGCAGATTTCCTTATGGTTTTCTGTGATCGGCCTCGTAATTAAAATGTAGAGGACAGAGAGACAGGCAAATGGCTGAGGGGAAAAAATAAGAGGAGGAAACTGTTAAAGGGAAATGGATATCTGGCAGTCTTTGCAGAATGACTGAATGTTCCCTTCCTCTCTCAAATATCCGCTGGTTTCAATAAGTGCATATGAGCATCTTTTATTGTGCCTGGTGTTGAATGGGACAAGGGGGCTACAGCTTTCCAGGCAGGAAAGATAAATGCTCCAATAATAATCTCAAAAGACAGCACATAGCTGGCTATAAATGAAACACAGACACACCTGGAGACTTAAGAAATGGAGTGCTCATTCCTAGTTTGAGAGCCAAGGATGATTTACCAAGAGGTGACCTTTGAGATGGGTCTTGAACAGGGTAGGTAGAGTAAGTAGGATTTCAACCAGCAGAGCTGGAAAAAGAACGTGCCAGCAAGAGGGTCTGCCAGAGAACAGAGGGTGTATTCTGAGCTAGTGGAGAGTCTAAGCTGACTGGAGGAAAATTAGGGCTCTGCCATCCAGATGAAAAGTAAGAGGGCCTGAGGATGGTGGTGGCAGTGACAATGGAGCTGACAGCCGGAGATTCAGTCATTCTTCCAGACACCACATCTCTGGGGCCTGAGAGCATGAGGTGAGGGCTTTAAGAAGAAGAGATGAATCGTGAGCAGCACTTGAAATGCCAGGTCCCGAGACGACACAGAGGCACAGGCGATCCCAGGGTGACAGGTGGCAGAAGACGGCCACACAAACAGTGTTCCTCTTCCTAAAATTCTGACTCAGGAGTATGGGGTGGGGCCTGGGATTCTGCCCTTTCAACACAGTTCACCTGGTTCTGATGTAGATGGTTCTTCAGAACATATTTTATAAAAACACAGCCCCGGGGAGTAAAAGTTATCCTTCCTTCCTTCATTCATTCAACAAATACGTATTGAGCATCTAAGACGCGCCCAGCCCTGCTGGTGTGAGGGATACAACAGTGAGCAGAAGAAACACGAATCTGTGCCCTGCTGGAGTATACGGTTCAGCCGGGGCCATCTAAACCAATCCTAAGTGGTGGGGGTTGTTGGCAGGGGGGCGGAGGAGAAGACATAAAACATCTTTCTCCTGAAGCTCCTTCAGCCCTGAGGCCGGGATCCTGCCACCCACCTGGAAGTGCCCATCCCAGCCCTCAGCTTCTTTCACAGCGACTTGGGTCACAGAGATGGGATGCCTGGGAAGGTTTTACATGTGTCTTGTGCGTTCTCACAAGAAGAGCTGTGTGATATATAACCATTCAACAAGCATTTGATGAATGAATGAATTTTGGAGAATCTCCTAAAGACCTGGAAAACCTTGAAAATGAAATATGGCTCTTATTCCCATCAGTACCCAGCATGAAAGGAGGAGCCCCGGGCTTCTGAGGGCACATGAGCCTCCCCTTGTCCCTCCCCGGGCCTCTTCAGCCTTCGACTGAAGGGGCAGTCACATCACTCCTGGTCGTCCCCGGAGTGAAGTCCGAGACTAGCGAAGGCTGGAGGACTCCCGTTCCTGTCTGTGAGAATCACCCCCTTTGCAATACAATCACACTCACTTTTGGAGCATTCATTTTTACCTCCCTGTGTCTCTGTGCGGGGAATCAGACAGGCACCGTCATTCCCACGTGACCAGAGAAGGTAGCCAAGCCGTGTGGCTGGACAGGGTCAGAGTCATACTGGCCCTGGACAGAGCCTGGATCAGGTCCATGCCAGTTTAAATCTGACTCTAGAATGGTCCCAAGGATCCAGTTTGGAGAAGAAAGGTTAACTTCCCTCCCTCTTCCCTAAGGTCCATCCAGAGGGGACCCAAACTACCAGGTCGGTCCAATCCTTGGCACCCACAGGCTCAGGGAGTGTGTGGGTGCTGGCCTGACCATACAGGTGTCAGCCCAGGCCCTTCCTTCCCAGGGGCATCAGAAACCAGTCAGTCTGCCTGAACCAATCAACTAGGGTGGCCATCTCCAAAGAAATGAATTTCTGAACCCATCAAGGCAACCCACCCTTCTTTAATGCGGCTTGTTCTTAAACACGTTTCAGATGTTAAAAGTCGCTGGCCCCACTGGTCCCCCCTTTTAGCTGAGACAGTGAGGCTGTGTGTTAACAGGAAAGTGGGCTCATCTCATCTCCGTTCCAGTGGCTTCCTCTAGTTTGCAGGTTGGAGGAGCCACTGCTAGGCCTGTTCCCAGAGTTCCTGGGACGAGCATTAACTGTCTTTCCAAGCTTTCCCTTGGTATGTCACAAAGACCAAAGGGGTTATTAGGAGGAAAGCCATTTTGAAAAGTGTGTGTCCTGTTGTCTGTTAAATATTTCCTGTCCAGGGCTGCTGTGTTGTTTGTCACATGCCCACATCCTGGGCTCCCAGGAGCTGGCAACTAAAAGCGACCATGTCCACACATTACAGACACGGGAGTCATGCATCCCCAAAGGAGAAATCTAACGTGCTTTGCAAAATGACGGGCTAACAAAGCATCTGCCAGCCCCTTAAAATTCATTCATTCATTTGTCCAACAAATATTCACTGAACAGCGACCCTATTTGTTCTATTATGGGGGGGTACCTTGGTAAACAAAAGTGGGCTTCGGAGATGGCAAATTTACCTGATGGGCAGGAACTAAGCAGGCGTCCTGGGCGGGGGGGTGAGGGGGGCCTCTGATAATGCTTCTGCTCCAGGAAAAGAATAACCCATCCCTCCTGTCGTTAATGACTTCCATAATTACTCCTTTGAACAGCAGAGGCAAATTTTCCCCTCGAGTAATCAAAATAATTGCCTAGGGACTGGAGGCTCAGATAGAAAAGGATTCTGCTGCGATGACATGAGAGGGAACAAAAGCACCTGAGTAGGAGAGCATTAACGGAGACACGACTGCCAGAAAAGCCTCCAGAAGCACAGGCTTCTGTGTAAGGAAAGTGCAGAGGGGCCACCCGTGTCCAGAGAGATCCGTCCCCACGTCACCACCCGAGACCTCACCCACCTCTCTCAGCCTGCCCGCTAAGCTTTCTTCTTCTCTGACTTAGGGGACAACTGGGTTTGAAGCACACATTGATAAGTGTTTGGAGCTGGCAGAGTATTTATACAACATCATCAAAAACCGAGAAGGATACGAAATGGTGTTTGATGGAAAGGTATGTATATTCTGATTTCTCCATCCCCAAAGGTTTAGTGTTCCTGGGGGGAGGGTATAGCTCAGTGATAGAACACATGCTTAACATGCACAAGAGACCCTGGGTTCAATCCCCAGGACCTCCATTAAAAAATTTTTTTTTAAACAGAGAGTGATAGCAGTCAGAAAGTGGTTATCTCTGGGGAGAGGTGGTGGATATCGATTGGGATGGGATATGAGGGAGACTTTCAGTACTGGAGATGTTCTGTGTATTGAGCTGTGTTGTGGTTATAAGGCTGCGCGCGCGCACACACACACTTCATGCAGATGTAACTTAAGATTTAGGATTTACTGTAAAACTTCAAAAAGAAGAAGAATGAAATGCAAAAAAAGAAAACCAACACTTCTAAAATATTAATATAAACCAGATACTGTCATGGAGGCTTTTAAGGAACATTGGTAAGAACAACAAGAAAAACTACCACCATTTATTAAGTACCAGAGACATTAAGTTTGTTGTTTCATCTGAAAACCACAGTGATCCTCTGAGAGGGGTATTATTATTTTTCGAATGAATAAACAAAAACTGAGAGAGGTTAAAAAAAGTGTAGTCAATTCCAGTTCTTATCCCAGGTATTTTCTGATGTTAGTGGTGTGCTGTCCAGGTAAGTGGGACCGTTACAAAGGAGAAGCAGGAATGAGGGGGTAGCCACTCTGAGCTGGAGTCAAGATCAAACTCAGAAAAAATAACTCCATATGAGGTTGTGAAAGTCAGGCCCTCTCAAGGCAATTATGGATTTCAAACTAGGAATTGTATCCAGAAGCTGGATTTGAAATGTCCTTGGAGTTTACAGAGTTGCCAGTCAGGGCTGAGTGTGAATCTTCCTCTCCTCTCTGCAGCCTCAGCACACAAACGTCTGCTTCTGGTATGTGCCTCCAAGTCTGCGGGTCCTGGACAACAACGAAGAGAGAATGAGCCGCCTCTCCAAGGTAAGGATGCTGCCCTGACCCATGACGTGGTGTGTGTGTTGGGCCTTTCACGTGCACATCATCCTCAAGACAGACCACGTGTCTTTAGAAGAAATCCATCCTCAGCCTTGGTCACGGGCCCCCTGCCCTCTGTGGGGTCCTGCAGAGCCAGGACATACAGAGCTGCCAGATCCAGACTCCTGACAACTTGCTTCTGTTTTCTGAGAGCATGTTTATAACATCTCAAAATAAGCAACGAGGTCGTATCTCTACTGTCATTCACGACTCAGCAGGAACCTGCTGACGTTGCCTGATCTGCCAGGAGAAACTGGTGCTCAATGATAAGCACGGACGAGACTCCAGGCACCAGAAATGGTTAGAAAACAGCGCTCCTGCTGATCCTCTTGAGATGCCAAGGTCAGGGCTCCTGGTGGGGTCTTTAGAGCTGTGATGACCCCCAGAAGATAACAGAGCAGGAGGCAGTGATAATAAAAGCCGCCGTCCGAGTGGGTCCTGTGTCCCTGGTTCAGCTCTGATGTAGCGTTACGTCACTTCACGCTCACAGCCGCCTAGCGCAGGAAGCACTGTGGTCTCCCCGTCTGGCTGATGGGGAAACCAAAACACAGGAGGAAAAAGTCACTTTCCCAGAATCACACTGAGAGTGATTCCAGAGCCTGAGGACTTGAGCTTCACATTCTCTTGGGGCCAGCAAGACACCCTTTATCTTTCATCCTCTCCTGCTCCCAACATTTCTGCGAAGGTGCAGTGTAGTTTGTAATGTGCACCAAAGAGAGCCTTGAAGGGAGAGAAATGCAACGGCCCACCTCCCACTGTGTTGGAGGAAGGGGAAACCTGTGTACATAGTTATTTCATAATAACTATAAATGGAGTATAACCTTTAAAAATTGTGAATCACTGTGAAACATATACAATATTATAAATCAACTTTACCACAATTAAAAAATACTAATAAAAATAAAATAGTAAGAGTTTATAAGAAGTATTTAAAAAGTACATTAGTAAGGAAGTAGATTGGCCTCATATCTGACTCTTTTCAAGTCTAGGTTATTCAATGTAATGGGGAACTTAATTGGTGATATTTTAATGTTTTCAAATATCTTACCTATGGTTATTCTGCTTTTTAATTTTTCAAAATTCCTCTCAAGCTTCCAAGATTTAAAAACAAAAATGTTTGTTAATACATAGTGAAAAATATGTTTCTGTAACATCTCATAAGTTTATTTTATAATACTTTAATCTGAGGCCTCGTTGGAGGACACAAATGTGGATTTAAATTGTGGAAGCATTCCCTGGTTACTGTTTTCTAAAAGATTGAAAAAGCTAATGGCAGAAGGCAGAAAATGATACCCTAAAACTCTTGAGGCATCTCCAAACAGCTCTTGTCAATTAAGCCTTTTATGAATTCTTCAACATGCGGCCCCTCTTTTCCTAACTTTGTTTATTCAGCAAAACCAAGAATGTGACCAAAAAAAAAAGTCTAGAACAAAGTCAAAATAAAAAATGCTGTATATTCATCAGAATAGTCAGAATCTTATTTTCCTTCTTCACTTGCAATTAGTGATTATGCAATGAAGTAGATGTTCCATATTCCTGCTAATTTTAGTTCATCAGCATTTTCTGGAAGCAACCAAAAGTCATATGTATTTAGACAGCTGTGATTTCTGCCAACCCAGCTTCAGGAACTGGGGGGTTTCAGTCTTAACTTTATGCCAAAATCTGTTTGGGATACTGACTGTTACCATTAGTCTTTTGACCTCTGATTTGCATGTATTTGAAAAATTTGACTTGATCGTCCTTAATAATTAACCCATTCCTATGTATTCTTATTTGCATTGCCCATGAAAATGAAATCAGAGTTTAATTCACTGAGTAAAGCATTATCATCGTTTGATCAGTGCTAAAGAACAAGCATGATTTTTGCACTAATGATTTTTTCCTTCAGTTCCTGCAGACACATGGACTTGGAACTCCTTTTCTAACCTGGGATTTCTCTTCCCAGGGACAGATCGACTTGCCATGTGACTCACAGCACAAAGTGATACCTCTCATGTCCTTAGGCTAATATATTCTAGTAGATTCATTTTCAGGAACTAATTCCAGACTTAAAATTTTTTTTTTAATATTCATTCCCTGGGATGAGTCTGATGCTCTGTGTACATCGTTCACTCTTTGGGTGAAAAGGATCACCCCAACAGAAGCATTCCTCTTTGCATTACC